AGTCAATATATAATTTAAACCAATTGGGATAGAAATCCCCTATTTCATCATCAATAAATATAATTCAACTATTTCAGGGAATTAAAAATATTCCTATCGATGTTAAAGCACTGTACAAAACAGTATGGGAGATCCCCCAGAAAGTTATCATTCAGATGGCCGCAGATCGTGGTGCCTTCATTGATCAAAGTCAGTCTCTGAACATCTACATTGCAGAACCCAATTATGGAAAACTGACATCGATGCATTTTTATGCCTGGAAATTGGTAAGTTTACCATTTTGATATAATAATGTTATCAGACTTATGTATTAGTTTAAACTTATAATGTATAAAGTATATATCAATTTTAACCATTCAATTTTCTTTTACAGGGATTAAAGACGGGGATGTACTATCTGCGTACTAAACCTGCTGCCAATGCTATTCAGTTCACCATTGATAAATCAAAGTTAGTTTCTTTTTCTAATTCTAATAATACAATGGATATACAAAGTGAAAAAAGATCCTTACAATCAGTGTGTTCTATTGAAAATAAAGATGGATGTCTTATGTGTGGCTCGTAGAAGAATGAGGGAAGTTAGGAACCAAAAGCTTACACATGCAAGCTCTCTTGTACGTAATTTTTTTTCTATTATATTAAAACATATATGTCTTATTAGATTCAATTATACATATCTGTTAATTTTAACTGAAATTAACCAAAATTAACTCATAAATTTGAAACAGATAACTCTGTCCGAATATACCAGCTTACTCATTAAAAAATGTACAAGGGAATTCAATTTACATTACTGTATATGTGGGAAATTCGTTTCCAAACACAGGTGAAGATTGTATGCGAAAAAAATCAGTCAAAAATGCCACCTTATCAACCATTTGAAAACTCATACGCAAAAAACTATACATATGTGATGTGTGTGAAAAAACATTTAGGGTCAGATGGAACCTGATCACCCATTAAAGAACCCATAAAGGCAAAAAACCGTATACATGCAATGTGTGCTGAAAAAGATTCAATCAGACAAGCTACCTGATCACCTATATGAAAACCCATATGTGTGAAAAACCGTATACGTAATGTATGCAGAAAAAAAATCAGTATCAGAGGCAGCCTGATCACCCATATAAGGACCCATACGGGCGAAAAACTGTATGTGTGTGACGAGTGTGAAAAAACATTTTGTAGCAGAGGCAGCCTGATCACCATTTCAGAACCCATACAGGGGAGAAACCTTTTACTGCGATGAGTGCAAAAAAAAAACATTTAGTTGCAGAGGCAACCGAAACATGTTGGTAGTTCAAATGTTGGATTAGACCGTTTTGACTGAATTTTTTCTCGAACATGCAATAATATAATTTAACAAAAAATATATGCCCAAGTTTTTTTAAATATATTTTTTTTTTGGGGGGGGGGGGTGCCACATGAACATTCCTTATCTTTTAGAAAAATGAGAGTAATAATAGAAACGCTCATTATTACCCATTGTAAATTTTTATGTAGATATGATTTATTGTCCTAAAAATCTATCATTTTTCAACCACATACATAAGCTTCTATATTAATAATATTGCTCAGTCATCAGGTATAATATTTTGGTAATATTATTATAATAAAATTTTGGTGTTATTATTGAAGGGGGCGTTATCATTGTTTGGCCGAAAAAATTCGGCCAAACACGAAAAATTTATAAAAATACTACAACGTTCTGGCAACACCGTGGTGCAAACCGTTTAATGTTATGATAATAAATAACGTAATTAGAGTAGATTTTCCAGCCGCAATTGTCCGAAATCTGGTCCTCGCGGCTCGGGTGCGCCGTAGGGTGATGCGTCATACGTTGTAAGCGTCTAGTATTTCGCAATAGAGTGGAGAATATCTTGTTATGCATATACAAATTATAAACACACTCGCTGGCAACTGTCTTCTGTGAGAGGGAGGGACTATAATCCGATTACTGGCTCAGTCACCCTCTCAGTGTCTGTGCCGGCGGTCGTATGCCTGACGCGCTCGCACAGATCGTATTTTCTTGCATATACTGCACAATGGATATAGTATCGGACAAGAAGAAAGCTCTAAAGGCAAGAGCTCTACGCGTTTGCCAAGTAAAGAAGGAGCGTAAAGCCACACTGAGGCAAAACAAGAGTTCTCTTGAGTGAAGAGAGAGGGCAGCCTCCCGCCCCGACAACACACTACCTCGCCTCACACCCAGGCACCCACACCTCCTGTGGCACCTGCCACACCTCTGTGGCAGCTGCCACACCTCCTGCTGCACCTGCCACACCACCTGCGGCACCTGCCACACCACCTGCGGCACCTGCCACTCAAGATCTACATATAATGTAGACCTGCAACTCAAGACGTTCTCCCTCTTGATGTTGCAAGATGTTGCATATTTCAGACCAATTATATTAGGTTAGTATGTATTATTTTTTATATCTTGATACTACATCATAAATAATTGTAAATATAAACCTGCTGTCTTTTTTTTATTTTTTTTTATTTTTTTTTTATTTTTTTTTTAATAATTTTTTTTTTTTTTTTATCAGGCGATCTTCATGGAACTTACACACCTTACTGAAGGAATGCCAATCTACAAGGGTGGTAATTTTGATTGAAATTGGTAGTTCATCAACCTCAGCCAAAGGTGGCTGAACTTTGACCTTCATTTTTTACAGGTAACTAATTTGCAACTATATGGTTGAATAACGTTTTTATTTATTATTCAATTTACATGGAACTTGCACATTATATGTAGAATCTGTGCCTCTAAAAACCCAAGTTATATATTTCCCCTAAGATCATTTATTGATTTTATATATATTTATAAACATCATTTTGTTGCATAATTTTTTGGGTGAACTTTGAAAATTTGTATTATTGCACTAAATAGGTTTGGGATAATAATGCCACTAGACAACCTTTATTATATAGTATTGTGATAGCTGAGTATCATAGAAATAATATCAGTTGATATTTGTATTTGTTATATCAACTTTAAAACATGTAAAAAAATGGTTAAAAAAAGTTTTTTTTTTTTCTCCCTCTCTATTTAGGCTGCGATGCTGAAACTTGGACCACTTGCAGCCCTCTTCACGTGTAACACGTCAATAAATTTTCATTGCACTAGAACAACTTTTATGAACCCTATCTAACGCCCCCTGAAATAGAATGTTCCTTACTTTTTCACAACTTTTGATGATAAGACAGGTATGAACTGTAATTCTACATTGAGAGAACATTGATGTTTCTATTGTCGATGTTAGAGATTAGCAAGGAAAGCACATGTTCCCAATCCATATTTTTAGAAGGATTAAAGGATTACATATTATATTTAATTAGGTAGGTATAAAAGGACGTTGAGTATCCTATTCAACTCATTGCTTATCTCTGAGTAGGAGTGTTCCCGAAAAACACTGTGGTAAGTTAAAAATATCAATGGAATATTTTGTTTAATTGGTAATAATATTAGTTATTGTAATACCTAAATTTCTTTCACCAGAAGGATCAACCCTATAGGATTCGGTCAAGTCCGTGGTGGCGTCATGCAGAAATTGTTGTCTATACTGGATGCTGAGAAGCTTAGGAGTCTAATAATTGAAAAGGAGGAAGAAATAATTGAAAAGGAGGAACAAATACAATAAGAAACAGAATTAATAATGATTGAATAAAGATGTTCTACCTTAGGATCTATCTATCCATTAATGATGGGCGCTATGGCAAAGATTCCTCCCTCCCCCTCCCTCTTCTTCTTTACCTAACTAACCTCTTCATCTACTACTTCATCAAACAATATTTTCCTGGAACGTCAGGATGTGTACCTTCGATATTTTACCGTGGAAAGTGTGGTTTCTCTAAAAAGGGTACCAAAGTAATTATGTAGTTATATCGCATAATATTTGAATAAACAATCATAATATATCTGGGATATTGTGGTGATCAAAGACACAAAAAATTTAAAGGGTTGTATTTGTGGAATCATGTTTTCATTACCTAATGAAAGATGAACACGTTGGGTACCTTAAGCTACAGGAAAAATAATATATTCATATGTGCTTAACATTTTATTAGCCTTTGGTTCTCAGCTGTTAGGTGTTAGGTTTGAACCTGCTGAGCATTGTCTGAGAAATCTACTACAACGAAATTATTGAAGGTAATTGGTGGTGCATTTGTGAGCTACACTACGTCATCTTGGTGTGGCGCTGGGATGAATGCGCTGGTAAACTAACTGGCTTGGATAAGGGACAAAAAGAATTTCCATCCTGTCACTCACTCTTCAGTCTCGTAGATTGTAGTGTACTACAAAGTTCCCTCAACTATATGTCATCTCCCTTAGTAAGCCTTCAATCATTATTAACCCTTTACTATATATACACTAATACCCCCAACCTGATATTTTTCCAATGTTACTTAAGTGATATTAGGGCTATACAGTAGTACTTCTACTTATGAACATAATCCGTTCGCACAGAGAAGTTGTAATTCGAATATTTGTAATTTCCAATAAAAAATTATGTAAATAGAAATTCCATACCCCCCCTCCCATATCCCATTAAAAAAATATTAGGTAAATATACATTTTATTCCAAATACTGTTTTTTTTAGTTATAATACAATATGTATATCTGTTGCCTTAATTGAGGACAATAGTTTATTCTTTTAAATTGAATCATATTGACTTTCCTGGGACTTATACTGTGATATTTATTATAATAATTACACTTATGTTAACAAAAATATAAAATAATTAAATTCATTACTAGTGATACTCATTACTTTATGCCATGTCTTGTAATAATGATCATTTTCAGTTTAATATATAAATATTTTTTGGTTTGGTTCCACCGTGATCACAATCATAATATGTATATATAGTTGTTTAATATGAGACCCTTCAATTAACTAATATAAATTCTTTATATATGTTAAAAGTTAAATTTCTTTTTTTGTAGGCTATAAAGTATGCCGAGATAAATAATGAGAAGAAGCTGGCACATTAGATGCGCAAGGTGAAAACCTTAAAATGTGATATGTGTGGAAGAAAATTCGGTCAAAGATGCCGCCTGATCGAACATCTGAGAACCCATACAGGCGAAAAATCTCCGCATACTTGCAATGTGTGTGGAAAAAAATTCAGTCGAAAAAGCAGCCTGGAAGAACATTTGAAAATACACACTGGTAAAAACCCGTATACGTACAATGTGTGTGGAAAAAAATTCAGTGTCAGAAGCAACTTGATCACCCATTTGAGAACACACACACAGGCAAAAAGCCATTTACGTGTGATGTGTGTGACAGAAAATTTAGTCACAGACATAACCTGATTAAACATTTGAAAACACACACAGGTGAAAAACCATATACGTGCAATGTGTGTGGAAAAAAATTCAGTGTCAGAAACAACTTGATCACCTATTTGAGAACACACACAGGAGAAAAGCCATTTACATGTGATGTGTGTGACAGAAAATTTAGTCACAGACATAACCTGATTAAACATTTGAAAACACACACAGGTGAAAAACCACATACCTGCAATGTGTGTGAAAAAAAATCAGTGTCAGAAGCAACTTGATCACCCATTTGAGAACACATGCAGGCGAGAAACCATATAAATGTAACAAGTGCAAAATTTTTTTTAGCTGCAAAGGCAGTCTGGTCGTTCATATGAGAACACATACAGGCGAAAAACTGTATACGTGCAATGAGTGCAGAAAAAAATTCAGTACCAGAGGCAACCTTATAACCCATATAAAAACCCATACAGACGAAAAGCCTTTTACGTGTAATGGGTGTAATAAAAAATTTAATCGCAGAGACAACCTGATTAAACATTTGAGAACACACACAGGAGAAAAACCGTATGTGTGCAAAAAAAAATTCAGTCAAAGCTACTACCTGATCCAACATATGAGAACCCATACTGGCGAAAAACCATATACGTGTGATGTGTGTGAAAAAACATTTAGTAGCAGAGACAGCCGGGTCACCCATTTAAGAACCCATACAGGCGAAAAACCTTTTACGTGCGATGTATGTGAAAAAACATTTAGTGAAACAGGAAACCTGATCAAACATTTGAGAACACACACACATGTGAAAAACCTTATGCATGCAATGTGTGCGGAAAAAAATTCAATCAAACAAGCGGCCTGATCACCCATTTGAAAACCCATACAGGTGAAAAACCATATACGTGTAATGTGTGCGGAAAAAAAATTAGTAGCAGAGGCAGCCAGATCATCCATTTAAGAACCCATACAGGTGAAAAACCTTTTTCGTGCAAGGTGTGCAAAAAAAACATTCAGTGTCAGAGGCAGCCTGATCACTCATTTGAAAACACACACAGGTGATAAACCGTATACGTGCAATGAATGCGAAAAAAAAATTCAGTGTCAGGGGCAACCTGATCATCCATATGAAAATCCATACAGGTGAAAAACCATATACATGTGATGTGTGTGAAAAAAATATTTAGTAGAAGAGGCCACTTGATCATTCATTTAAGAACCCATACAGGCGAAAAACCTTTTGCGTGCGATGTGTGTGAAAAACATTTAGTGGCAGAGGCAACCTGATCAAACATTTGAGAACACACACAGCCGAATAACCATATATGTGTGATGTGTGTAAAAAAAACATTTAGAAGTAGAGGCAACCTGACCCAACATTTGAGGACTCACGCGGGCCAAAAAACTTTTATGATCAATGAGTGTGAAGAAAATATGAGTCATTTGAAAACCTACCCAGGTAATAATAATAAACCTTTTGCATTCGGTATAGGTGGAGATAAATTGGGTCAGGGAGGCTGCGTGACTGAACATTTAAAAACGACTCCACACTCCAGTGAAAAATGGCTTACCTGTGATGAAATTCTTTTGACATCTCGAGGAAAGCATTGATGTTAAAGAAGTACTAATTGAAGAAGATCAATCGCCTGTGTTATAATCACCAAAATATTTTATGTACACCGATGACTGGCATAATTTTCATCTTAATGTGCATATATTATTAGGGATCTGTACGTAATATAATCGATAAGATTATCAAAATGACCATAATTATATTTCTATATCTTAATAATACCTTATTCAAATAATAATAAATCAAAACAGATACTTTTTTTCTAACCAAAAATATTTAACTCATCATATTTTATAGTTTTATTGTTAAAAGACGAAAGTTTATTATATTATCTTCCCATATAGACATACAATTAAGTACCTCTATGCCGTTTATAGTCCAGGTTAATAGCAGAAATGTTCATTTAAGTTCCCCTTTTGTTTTTATTTTGAACTTTAAAATTTATATATATAGATTGCATGTTGTCGCCGGAGGAATATTGATCCATCCGCGCACATGCTTATATCATCCTCAGAAATACAACGGAATCTTTAGCCTACCTAGGATCTATATCCATCCATTAATGATGGGAGCATAAAACAATAATTTATTTAAATTAAGTTATTAGCGATGTAGAGAGTTATGGCAAAGATTCCTCCCCCCACCTCCCTCTTCCTCTTTAACCTCTTCTTCATCTACTACGTCATCAAACTACATTTTCGGAACGTCAGGATATATAGATAATCATAATAATAGCCTTCGATATTTTACCTTCGAGAGTGTGGTTCCTCTAAAAATGTTTCCAAAGTAATTATGTAGTTATATTCGCATAAAATTTGAATAAACAATCATAATATATCTGGGATCTTGTGGTGATCGAAGACACAAAAGATTTAAAGGGTTGTATCAGTGGAATTATGTTGAAAGATGAACACGTTGTGTACCTTAAGCTACAGGAAAAATAGTATATTCATATCATGTTCTTAACACTTTATTAGCCTTTGGTTCTGTTGTATTGATGACATCCATAATTACGAACAGCTGTTAGGTTTGAACCTACTGAGAATTGTCTGAGTTTATCGTGAAAGTAAATTCAGTGAAAGTAAATAATTTGAAGGCCCATCCTAAATTATTTTTTTGAATACAAAAATCTACTGCAACGAAATTATTGACAGAGCATTATTGAAAAAAAAGGAAATTGGCAGTGCGTTTGTGAGCTACACTACGTCATCTTGGTGTGGCGCAGGGATGTCGCGTAACTAACTGGCTTGGCCAAGGGACAAAAAGAATTTACATCCTGTCACTCACTCCTCAGTCTCGTAGATTCTAGTGTACTAGAAGGTTCCCCTCCACTATATGTTATCTCCCTTGGTAAGCCTTCAATCATTATTAACCCTTTACTACACTAATAATACCCCAAGCTGATATTTTTCCAATGTTACTCAAGTGTATTAGGGCTATACAGTAGTACCTCTACCAAGAAGATTCAACTAAACTACAATACGGTTGATGCTTCCTTATTTTTTGATACCAAGACCCTTTGATTAATTAATATCTGTCAATGCTTTTGAAGTCAATACAGTATATGTTCATAAATATTGCTAAAAATATGAAATGAGTATTCGTCACTTTATGCCATGTTTTGTAATAATGATTATTTTTGAGTTTATTAATATATAAATATTTCTGTTTGGTTCCATATAAATTATATGTTGACGAATTCGGTTTTCATATAAACAATATGGTTGGTTGATTTTTATTTATTTTTTAATACCGTGATCACAATCATAATTAATATGTATATATTATATAGTGGTTTAATATGACCAATAGTCAAAAAGATCCTTCAATTAATTAATATGAGTTCTTTATATACGTAAAAAGTTAAATTTCTTTTTTTGTAGGTTATAAAGTATGCCGAGATAAATAATGAGAAGAAACTGGCACAGATTCTTAGGCAAATAAAACCTATACAGGCGAAAAAAACATTTAGATGCGATGAATCAAAGATATATCCTGGTCCCACATTTGAGAACACACTCAAGGTGAAAACCTTAAAATGTCATATGTGTGGAAGAAAATTCGGTCAAAGATGCCGCCTGATCGAACATCTGAGAACCCATACAGGCGAAAAATCTCCGCATACTTGCAATGTATGTGGAAAAAAAATTCAGTCGAAAAAGCAACTTGGATGAACATTTGAAAATACATACAGGCGAAAAGCCATTTACCTGTGATGTATGCGATAAAAAATTTAGTCACAGACAATACCTGATCAAACATTTGAAAATACACACAGGTGAAAAACCGTATACGTGCAATGTGTGCAGAAAAAAATTCAGTGTCAGAAGCATCTTGATCACCCATTTGAGAATACACACACAGGAAAAGCTATTTACATGTGATGTGTGTGATAAAAAATTTAGTCACAGACAAAACCTGATCAAACATTTGAGAACACACACAGGTGAAAAACCGTATACGTGTAATGTGTGTGGAAAAAAAATCAGTGTCAGAAGCACCTTGATCACCCATATGAAAACCTATACAGGTGAAAAACTATACGTGTGATGAGTGTGAAAAAACATTTAGTAGAAGAGGCAGCCTGATCATCCATTTAAGAACCCATACAGGCGAAAAACATTTTACATGCGATGTGTGTGAAAAAAAACATTTAGTGAAAGAGGCAACCTGATCATACATTTGAGAACACACAGCCGAAAAATCGTATGCGTGCAATGTGTGCAAAAAAAAAATTCAGTCGAAGCGATGGCCTGAACCAACATCTGAAAACCCATACCGGCGAAAAAACATATACATGTGATGTGTGTGAAAAACATTTAGTAGCAGAGGCAGCCGGATCACCTATTTAAGAACCCATAGAGGCGAAACACCTTTTACGTGCGATTTGTGTGAAAAAACATTTAGTGAAAGAGGCAACCTGATCAAACATTTGAGAACACACACAGGCGAAAAACCGTATGCGTGCAATGTGTGCCAAAAAAAAATCAATCAAAGCGACGGCCTGATCCAACATCTGAGAACCCATACCGGCGAAAAACCATATACGTGTGATGTGTGTGAAAAAACATTCAGTGTCAGAGGCAGCCTGATCACCCACTTAAGAACCCATACAGGTGAAACACCGTATACGTGCAATGAATGCGAAAAAAGATTCAATGTCAGAGGCAACTTGATCATCCATTTAAGAACCCATACAGGCGAAAAACCTCTTATGTGCGATGTGTGTGAAAAAACATTTAGTGGCAGAGGCAACCTGATCCAACATTTGAGAACACACACAGCCGAAAAACCTTTTATGTGCGATGTGTGTGAAAAGACATTTAGAAGCAGAGGCAACCTGACTCAACATTTGAGGACTCACGAGGGCAAAAAACTTTTATGATCAATGAGTGTGAAGAAAATATCAGTCATTTGAAAACACACCCAGATAATAATAATAAACCTTTTGCATTCGGTATAGGTGGAGATAAATTGGGTCAGGTAGGCTGTGTGACTGAACATTTAAAAACGACTCCACACTCCAGTGAAAAATGGCTTACCTGTGATGAAATCCTTTTGGCTCACGAGGAAAGCATTGATGTTAAAAAAGAACCAATTGAAGAAGACCAATCGCCTCTGTTATAATCACCAAAATATTTTATATACACCGATGACCGGCATAATTCTCATCTTAATGTGCTTATATTATTAGGATCTGTACATAATATAATCATGTGATTGATGAGGATACCTTTAAAGAGGGTCGGGCGATAGTCATAAAGTGACCATAATTATATTTCTATATCTTAATTATAATACCTTATCCAAATAATAATAAATCAAAACACATATTTTTTTTCTAACCATAAATATCCAACTCATCATATTTTATAGTTTTATTGTTAAAAGACGAAGGTTTGTTATTATAAAGTCGTTGTGTACTGGTAATCTACATTGTAACCATTACTCTTTTATCTCTCTCTAGAGTACGTAAAATACAGTACAGTATTTCTTT